TTCTAAGTTCGAGTTCAAGAATAATCTATTATATTTTGAAGGACGCCTATATGTTCCAGAAGGAGAAGCACGTTTACGTGTTCTTCAAGCACGTCATGACTTTCCAGCAGCAGGGCACTTTGGATATAATAAGACTTTGAAATTCATATCAAGAGATTTTTGGTGGCCACAAATGTGGAAGTCAGTCAAAGACTTTGTACAATCATGTGATATTTGTTCAAGATCAAAAATTCCTCGTCATCGACCTTACGGACTTCTTCAGCCATTACCTATACCAGAACAACTATGGTCTTCTGTTTCTATGGATTTCATCACAGATCTTCCAAGCTCAAGATCTTATGATTCTATATTTGTGATAGTAGATTGTTTCACCAAGATGGCATATTTTGTGCCATGTACAAAATCTATCACAGGTGAAGAAACAGCTAAGCTTTTCATTGATAATATCTATCGCTATCATGGATTACCTAAAGATATCATATCGGATAGGGGAACTCAATTTGTGTCAAGATTCTGGAGGACCCTTTTCAAGATTTTAAAAGTGGACATAAAGCTATCTTCGGCTTTCCATCCTCAAACTGATGGACAAACAGAGCGTGTAAACCAAGTCTTGGAGCAGTATTTAAGAAGTACTATCAACTACCAACAAGATGATTGGATAACCCTTCTGCCATTGGCAGAGTTTGCTTATAATAATACGATACATTCTTCCACGCAACAAACACCTTTCTTTGCCAATTATGGCTATCATCCACGACTTGATACTTTTGATTTTTTAAAAGTTGATAATCCTGCAGTAGAAGATATGGCAAATCGGTTGTCAGAGTTACATGCAATAATGAAGACACAATTGAAGGAAGCTCAAGAACGACAAAAGATAAATGCAGATCTATATCGTAAGGAGCAACCACAACTCAACGTGGGTGATAAGGTATGGCTACTTCGTCGCAATATCAAGACTACTCGACCTTGTGATAAGTTGGACTATCGTAGGCTTGGCCCTTTTTCTGTTTCTGAACAGATCAACCCAGTTGCATATCGGTTACATCTACCGGAGTCAATGAAGATCCATCCTGTATTCCACGTATCTCTTTTTGAACCATATAAGACAGTGGATATACAAGGAAGAAGACAAATGCCACCGCCTCCTATAGAAGTAGATAATAATCAAGAATTTGAGGTGGAAGAGATATTAGACTCAAGGCGGCACAGAAATAAGCTGGAATATCTTGTTCATTGGCGCGGATATGATATTAGTGAACGCACATGGGAGCCATCCAGGAATCAAGCAAATGCATCAGCTAAAGTCAAAGTTTTTCATCAACGACATCCATCAAAACCAAGATGAAAATCTTTCTTATAAAAGAGATAAGATTGAGGCAAGATAACATTCAATTTCCTATCCTTGTTTGTAACTTCTTTGTATTTGTGACGCTAATTAGATGGAGAGCCAACAACCAGCGGATTCAACTCAAGAACCTTCATTTGCTGATCTACCGGACGAGACATTGCGATTGTCACAACCTTCAAGACGACGCAATCGAGATGAACATCTTCAAGAACGACATATTCTTCCTCGAATAGATGGTGAGATACAACGCGTTTGGTATCACAATTTGGGAAGGGACTTTTGATGTTTGGTGATTTTGCTAGAGGTAGGAACAACTCCTGATGGTGTTCCAAATATTCTATTCGAAGGAAGTTACGAAGGCCTCAACAATGATCAAATAACTGGGTGGTCTTCCCGCCCTGGTATGGGATACTACCGATGATTGAGAGGCCCTATCAATCATCTTCGAAGAGAACAGAGATCAAGGTATGTGGCGAATACAATTCGTCGCATCATAGATTTCCTCAACATGTGATGACCGCTCCTCGTGGAACTCGTCTCTAGAAGGGAGGGTAATGTCACGGCCATAATCATGTAAGCTAATAATTACATATAGAAATAGGTAGAAGTAAGTAAAAGTAGATAAAAGTAAGTTAATTCTATAATATTTAATATAGAAGCTTCCTAGAAACTTTCTAGATGCTACTTTGACTTCATGGGTGTCTTTAATTGACTTTTTGGATTAGAAACGTGGTCAACAAGTTGGCCATGTGCCACACATGTTGTTAGCTTGAAGATCAAGCTAACTATGTGGCCCACACGTAGAAAAACTTGCCTTATAAGTCAAGGCATGTGTCCTATAAAGTCAACACATATTGGAGGTCCTATAGAACGTCGCCACTTAGCCCCTAGTTAGATAGTATATATAGAGACAAGAGTGAAGGCTTCTTCACTCTTGTCAACTCCTTTCTTGCTTCTAGTCTAGTTTCAAGGGTCTCTAGTTTTCTTGTCTTTTGGCAATAGCCATTCTAGTTTCTCTTTTCAATATACATACTTATTATTCATATTTTGTTAATTTTCTTTGAGTGAAGGCTTACTTTTCTGAACTGTTTTTTCATCGAGTTCTTGTCCTTGACATGTAGTCTATTCTTTTTAAAAAAAGAATCAAAATTAAAAAATAAAAAAAATATTAATTTAAAGATGGATGGTTTGCAACCTTCAAAGTTTAAGAAATAAAGTGAGATGATTCACTCAACTCTAAAATAAAATAAGAATAATAAATTAACACTCTTTTCAAACTATAAAAGACATAAATCACAAAGAACCAAAAGATCAATACATTCTTGTTTCACTAAAAAATAATGGATGATCATTCAAAGATGGTATAATATTAAATTAGAATGGTTATTACTAAAGACAAGAAAATGAGATATTCTTGAAACAAGACTAAGAACAAGAAAGATGTTGACAAGAATGAAGAAGGCTTTATTTTTGTCTTTATATATACTTTCTACCTAAGAACTAGTTGGCAACGCTTTATAGGACCTCCAATGTAAGTCTAACTTACAAGACACATGTCTCACTTATAAAATAAAATAAAATAAAATAAATTATATATGCACCATGTAGCCAACTTATAGCATAAATCACCAACATGTACAACACATGGCCAACTTATTGGCCAAGTTTTTAACCAATCTACTTATATCTATTGCTACTTTCCAATTCTTATAGCCTAGATAAATAAATATATATATATATATATATATATACATATATATGTGTGTGACATCCAAATCCTTCTATCTCCATTCAATGTCTTTTGTTCCTTATTCTTAGCCTCCATCTTCTATTCCAAACCTCTACTTCTTCCATCTTAACATCCGTCTTTTATTCTTATTCTTTATCCTTATAAATGGCAATAATATCCTTGAAGAGAGATGTATTTTTTACATAAAATATTTTGTAATTAAAATGTTAATATTATTGCATTGTAATCTTTTAATTGCAATTAAAAGATAGTATATCTTATTTTAATTTAAACATTATTTGGATTAATTGATTATATTCTCTATACTTGTAGAATCTAAAAAAAAAAAAAAAAAAAAAAAAAAAAAATGAAATTTATTATGTAGAAGTTCTTTGAAATAATATCATGTGTGAAATCTATGGCTAAATATTTTGGAATTCAATGTTGGTTCTTCAAGATAAGTGCTAATAATGGCAATATAGGGATTTGAAACCTAGGATAAGAGAATTTGATATAAGAAATGAAGGCTAAGAACAAGAGATGGGAAATAAGAAATGAGAGTGGGAGGAGAGAACAAGAGGATCAAGATTGGGACTAGGCACAAAAAATTGACATGAAATAGAAGACTAGGAATAAAGAATATAGATAGAGGATTAGGGACTGGGAACAAGGGATGGAAATAGGAAGATCAAGAATTGGAAATAAGAAACAAAGATGGGAGACATTAACAGAGAATAAATTGAAGTAATAATGAAATTATAAGTTATAGCAATCCGCCAAGTTTTTCCACCTAAGTCAATTAGCAAAAAAATCTAAGTAGATGAAATACCACTAAATCAAACTAAATTACATATATCCAATGAGATTAGGCATCCAATGCCACATCACATGACAATTTTGATATAACTCATATTAACTTCTTAAGATATATTATTTAAAATGATGGTTTTATGATAGATCCTAAGAAAATTTAGAGAATCATAGATTGGAAGATTTTAAGAATATTAAGAAATATGCAATTTTTTTGAGATTTGCCAATTTACTATTGAATTTTTCATTGAAAAAAAATTTACAAGTAGTAGCTCTACTTACACATTTGTCTTATAAAAATAAACTTCAATGGAACTAAGAAGCTAAAGCAACATTAGAAGCTTTGAAGACAACTTTTACAACAACCTTAATCTTATATTACGTAAAACTAAGGTATTATTTATGGAAATAGTCACATTAAACTTTGCTTCAAATAAAGGTATTGTTATATATGAGAACAAATGACAAACTTTATCTGATAGCTTCTCATTTAAGAAAAAAATTAACAGTTGAGATTAATTACAAGATCCACAATAAAGAACTTGTGATTGTAAATTTATTTCAAAAATATATCTATTATTGAGAAGGTGCTTCAAGTCTAGTGATTTTTTATACAAACACAAGAACCTCAAGTATTTTATATCAAGACATGTTTTAAATTATTGCCAAGCCTATGGGAGCATGTTTTTGTTATCACTTATCAACTAGGAAGACAACAAGGTTTGTCAAACACTTTTTTTAGACCTTCATATCTTATGCCAAAAGAAGATGCAACTTTTGATGAATAACAAAATATTATTTTGAAACCAAAGCAATTGCATCTTCAAGCATTAAAATTAAAGTTGATTGTTGATTCAACATTTCTTGATCGAGTACAAAAAATTAAAAATAAATAAATTTATATAACTTCTGCCAAATTATGTAATTGTGAACTATGTTAGATGCCACAAGCACAGTTCACTACCAAATCAGTTCTGAAATAAAAAGAAATAAAGAATAGAAACCAAACTTGAACTAGTGTTTGAACTGAAAAATCTGTGCCTTCAGAATGACGCCATTCACATTAAAGCAGTTGAGAAACAAGCCCTGTCACCACAATGGCAACTTCACTGAATGTGAATTTGAGGAATTCATGCTGAATATATGTATTTAAATATTTATACTACAAAGGGAGGAACTGCACTTTAGACTCCATGAGGTCTACTCTTCACTGCACTGCACTGTGAAAGCAGAGCTAGTCTACAGAGAAGGCTGCTCTGACATCGGATACAACAGTTTTATATATAGAGAGTTCGGAAGCAAGCTTAGCAAAAATTCTCTCCTCCATCACTGCAGACAGCAGAGCATTCCGGGAACATAATCTCAACGCCAGGCCAAGTTCATCAATTATCATGTACACATACCTCCACTAGCAAACCCGCAGGTTCTAGGAGCAAAACCTCAGCCAGGGAAAAGAAGCTGACTGGACAAGTGAAGCACCTCTCCACATGACTTCACACACCATGAATTAATGGGTACTAATGAAACATATCAACTATCGAATAGTGAAGAACTATATCACATTGTCACTCCCACAGCCATCACTTCGCCATTGCAATACTTGGATTGGAAAAGGGAACTGTGGCCACAGAAGTAAAAATATCGCAATCTGTTCTATAAAGACCTTGATGCTACACAGCCACGGTGGACACAAAATTAATGCTGTGTGGCAGAGCAACTCCCTCAAAGGCATCCTTCACTACGGAAAGCCCCGCAATCAACTCCACAACAGGACCTCCAGCAGTGCTAATATCGACAAGAGATCTCGAGATGCTCTTGGAAAACACATCATCGACCCAGGCGTTGAATTTTTGTCGCCCATCGGGTATTTTCCACACACATGACATGAGATACTCCAGGAGACGAAGGTCCACCTCAACACCTGCTTCAGATGGGGAATGGTCCTCAAATGATTTGCTAAGCGTGTTCAAGATCTCCGTAGCGAGTCCATTGAAATCGTAAGGGTCGAACCCGACGGCATAATCAGGTAAGGCACAAAATTTGTCAGTAAGCATTAAGCGGACGTGCTCCAACACCTTCTTACGTTTAACTTCTTCTGCGTCGAAGTCGGTGACGCAGTGATCATCCGTCTCACCTGTCCAACAACCTTTGTTTTCTCCAGTAGATAGATTGAGATCCAAGTTTAGAAATCGACCTTGGCCAGATTTTGTTCGTTTCGCATCGAACTTCGAGCGAAGTTCACCTTGAAGAAATGAGTCTTGCTTTCGCTTGGTCACCCATAATGGAACTTCCAATGGCGAGGAAGTAGTCTCGACGAATTTCTTCTGCTCTTCTTCACCATGATCTACGACAACTATCTTGTTGTTGGCGCTTTTGAAAACAATCTTTTCGCTACTTGAATGTTTAATTCTTACACAAATTTCGGCTCTTTTCAAGGCGGCCAGCTTCGCTTCTGAGAAAGATAGGGCCCCTAGGCGCTCCACTGGCTCGCAGTCCACACTGCCAACGCTTGTAGTCATGACGATGATAGAGTTGCTGAGGCTCACCTCACGCATACTAGAATCGGCAAGCTTTCCTCTCTCCATAGCCCTAACAACGTTGTTCTTAAACACACTGGTAGCCTTATCAATATCCTCCAGTAGTATGACTGATGAAGGCTTCAACCGGACAGCTTCCGCCAACCTGTCGAGCGGTGTTTTACCTCGGTACCGCATACCACTGTCATCTCCTTCCAACCTTGCAGGCGATCCGTCTGCAAATCCAATATGCAGAAGGCTCCTTTCACCACCAAAAACCATCTCTGCCAAAGCCTTAGCAATAGCAACCTTGGCCACAGGATCAGGTCCTAACAGAAGCAGCCATGTATCAGTCTTAGCAGTAGCACCTCTGAAGGAGCCCATGCCAGACCGACACTTCATGACAGTAGTTGCTATGCCCGCCACAGCGGCAGCCTGCCAAGGAACACGTTGCATGAGGCCCTTGTAGAGACCCTTCAAAGTGGGATCATCCACAACGTCCTTCAAAGGAGCAGCAGGAGGAGGACTCGGCGATTTTGACACGCGAGCTTGTCGCCTTGTCAAAGGTGATGCATATAACTGCCTTGACAACCCTCTCGGCTGGGATGGGTTGTTGGCAACTGGTCTTTGTTGTTGCAAAGGGGATTGTAGAAGCCAATGTGGCTTAGTGGTGTTCTTCACACTGATAGGACAAGCACCGACACCCGCGCCCCCGGCGTGGAGTGGACTGGGTTTTGATGCCAGTGATATGGGAGCCCTCAGCTTACCAGCCATTGGGGAGGCATCGTTGGCTCTTCCAAGAGCCAAATTTGTATGAATATTTGCCAGGGAGGCATTCTGGGCAGATGTCCCAGTTGAAGTGTGGGGATCTTCGTGATCATCTGGTGCAGAAGCTACGCTACTCCCATCCTTCGGTGAGCCCGTATCAGGCCCACCATTGGCCTCTAAGATTTTGTCAGCTCCTAGAGAAGCTGCATCTTGCGCTTGCACCATTCTTTGCAAAGGACTGATTGCACCTTGCCTTGCAGCATTCATGGTGAATAACGGTGACGCTCGAATGGGCTGAACAACAGCGGGTGAAGTTACCGACCTGTTCCCTGGGCCAGACCATCGGGAAGATACGTCCACACCTAAACCTGCACGTTAATTGATGATTAGATCTTGAAAATCTCAACTCAACAAGTAGACGAACAAGCTGAAAAGCAACAGAAAAACTAGTGACATGGCTTCTCTGATAACGTAGACTTAAAATAGACAAGACTCTTCCAAAAACACCAAAAGATAAGATAGACCGAAAACATTCTCACCACAAGACTTCGGAAGGTTGATGTGAGAGGATGCAGTCATTCGACTAAAGGGAGACGGCAGCTGTGGCCTTGATTGGGCACCAACAGACTGTGATGAGTCTCCATGGAGCATCCTGCAGTTCTTTTGCCACTTCTCCCGGAGCTGCATTAACTGCTGAACAACTGACTCTTTCCCTACCTGGCCCGTTCCACCGTTCACAACCCCAAAACTAGCTTCATCACCTGTAAGTGACAAATGTAGAGAAAGACTTTCATGCTCGTGAATAAGCCGACGCTCCTCTTCAAACTTGGCCAGACATTCAACACAGCATTGAAACCTCTCATTTGGACCAGAATTGCTCACGGGTCGCGTATCCTGCATTAATGTCACCCTAGGGGACTCTACACTGGCAGACGGTGTCGAGTGAAGCGAGTGAAGATCATGCACAACTCGAGTGCAATTTGTCAATCTGGAAAGAAAATAAATATAAAGTCAGCTAATGCTCGGTCCAAGACTGAACAAGAAGCGCTCGCGTGAATGTGTGTATAAGAATAAATACAAACATACATTCACGTATACAAACACACACACACACAAATATATATATATATATATATATATATACATACATACATAATAGGCACAAATCATCAAGGATTTAGCAATTGCATGTAACATTTCCATGAGCATCAGTTAGACAAACCAACCTTGATAGGAAGTCGGGTTGGGACCCTATTGAGAGTGGCACAGGCTGGAGACCCCAATCTGCTATCAAAGATGGGTACAAAACTTGCAGTCGGGAAAATGTTTGAGGAGTTGCCACTCCAACAAACCACAATCTGCTACTTGCATGCCGAATTAGCAACTGCCGCAACTCGGATGCAGTTCGTTGTGCGGGACAAAAATTTGATGGGCCCTTCTTGAGTTGCATAGGCTCCGCAAGCCATTGCAAATCTCCAATGTGAAGTATGGCACCCGCAGGCATACACTCCCCTACAATCTTACTCAGCTCAGCAAGTTTCTGATCCATTTCAAGACTGCTGCAATATCCAAAAGACGATGAAGATAGCAGAGGATCAAGAATCTGCAGGCCTTGCAATTGTGCTGGCACGTTCCCGTTTTTTATCCTCAACGCCAAGTCAGAATTCACAGCATTAGCAGCAGTGATATCTCCTACTAAGATGACATTCTTGATCCTGGGCCTTAAAAAGATATTCAAAATGTTGAGGACGTCCTCATCCTTCGATGAAAGACCACCTCCAGGTCCAACAACCGGATTCGATCTATTCGGAGCTCTGCACACCAACTCCCTCCTCTCATGACTCTCAATGACTGCGTCAGACTGCTGCCATGATTCCATAGAACTGGTTTGATTTGCAGGCAAGCGTGAAAACTTCACAGATGCCTTTGTTTCATTCTCCTCTTGCGTCACGCAACTATTATCATAAAAAGGACCTGCAGTAAGGAATAACACAACCCGACCATTTAGAATACATTGTAAAACGGTGCGTCTAGCCACACAAATTATAACGAACCACACAGATCGGCCTTTAACAAACTGAAAAGCATCTTCTAATGGAGGGAGCAAAAGCTGAATCCCAAAACTCGCACGAATAAAGAGTAATCTTGCTAGTAGTAAGCATGGGAGGGAGATTAAACTATGAGGTTGGCGAAAAGCAAATACCTTGCGACACCATATCAATTCCATGCTTAGAAGCCTGCTCATGGCTGCTTAACGCTTGTCCTACGCCATTTGATACATGGCTAGTCAACCCTTTCCCGTCTCCGTTTGCTACGGTCGCTGTGACAGGCCCATCTTCCAAGTTGAACTTGACATTCGTACTAGAAAGTCCGGCCTCTTTCATAACCCGACTGACACTCGGATCATCTAGAATGGAGATAATCAACTGATCAATCTCAACTTTCACAGCAAGTAGTGGAGATTGTTGGTGCTCCGGGCATCCCCGTCTCTGATGGGCGTGAGCCCGCTTCAGAGCGGCCATCAAGGCGTTTGACAGAATGGGCTGGCTGGCAGCGGCCAACGCGGACTGCGGAAGATGATCCAGGGCGACATTGAAGCACACTTCAAGAGCCCGACACTCCGCGGATTGAGAGTTTTGAGGCTGGGACAGCATGCACGCTTGTCGCAGACGGCTTCCGGCGTGAGTAAGCAACATGGACACAACATGCAGGGGTTGCACCTGAGGGTGACCCCTCCTCCGAGCCTCGGTAACCGCATACTTCAAGACACCGTGTGCCGCCGGAGTGAGCAAGTGTTGGACTGAATTTGCCCCGCTACGCATGCTCACGTCTATGGTTCTCACAGGCTCTTCGATTACTCCCTCAAAGTCGTCCAACTAAGGTTCCTCGCACTCACCAGATTTCCTGCTACTCTACCATCCACCACCTAAGAATCAGACCCACTGAACCATCTGCATCTGCACCAGCACAACGTCCAGACATCCGCGCGTCCTCGCACGATAACAACCACCTCGTTTTAGAGCGTGAACAGCCCCCTGTAAGTCCTTTTCGCATTGCATCCCACATCGGCGTCAACGATGACACCACATGGAACATCCACCAAAATCTGCTCTCTTGGCAGCTCCGTGGTCAAAAACTTTACCGTCAACCATGCCATAACCATAACACCCTTAATGCTGTTCGGTCACAACAGTTTCCAAGACCTTCCTCCAACCCTCCTACGATTCTTTGACGCTTCAACCTACAAGACCATCCAGGATATGTCATGAGACAATCTTCCAAAAAACAAGCTATTCCTGCGCACAACAACCGGTCACACCATTTGCCAAAAACATTCGAAGCTATGGACGCGTTTCTTACAATTAAGTCTGCCATCCATAACCACTGCTGAGAAGGTTGAATGTTGCTGTAAGACCCTCAGTTCTGAAGGCCCTTCAGCATTCAGGAAACATGGTGATTCCGAAAACTATGTCGACAGAAACCCACACACGTGACTAGCGAATCGGTGCCAGACGGATCCTTGAAGGAGCTGTACCATCGCTATCAAAGAGAAAATGTTGAGGGGAGGGATGTGTTAAGATACTCTACACACGATGCGAGGTATGCGGCACGGCCCGGTGCCGGATTTCACGATTTATAAACATATGTAATCATGGTTTCATTAGATATCAGGAACAGTTCGAAACGGGCGCAGCAAACCCAATCCTTCGACCTTCGCGGAGAGTAATAGTTGCGGCACTCTTACATCATCTCAAGATCTTACACACCACAATTCGACACGAAGACTAGTTTCGCGGCTCGGCAATTTCGTAGTAGCTACACAAGAATTGTGTAACTGGCATGGACGCTAGAGCAGTAATGGCGGTTGAATAGGCTAAGAAACCTACAAGTCTAGGTACTAAACCTCGTCGTAATTCCTAGCTCAGAAACAACGCTGACCTTTACCAGAAATTTGTAACATTACAAGAGTGGTAGGCCTTTGTCGTATGACTGGTGGAACTAATAATCGAAGTATGTTTCGACAGGCCCGCCCAGCAATTCGTGATTTACAAGAGGAAACCTAGAAACATCTGTGCTAGCTGTGACGAATACAAATTTGAACCAGGCAAGGGGCAGAAGCTGATTGCCACAACTGCGATAGCTACATAACGTGAAATCGGGTGCTCTCAATGTAGCTATGAGACGAGCGAGATGACGCTCTGAGCAATTCGAATCACCTGATTTTCTAAGAGTGAAGCGCGAGTAACAATAGCCTCGGGTTTAAACTACTACACATATTCTGTGATGAAATCAGGCAGCGTACCTTTCAATCTCCAACGCGGATCAACCAGTTCGACACCTGCCAAGACGCCTGCTTCAGCGAGTGCACTACAACTACTTCTTCAGCCGCTTCTAAACCAACTCTTTCAGATCGAACCCACCCGTCCACCAAAACGTTTCCTCCTGAACCCGTACACGCGCGAATCCTCCCACATACTTATAAACACACTACAAAACCCGATCGCCTCACGACCACATACCCACACATGCACCAGTTGGCCAACTCAGTATCCCTCAAGCGAGTCAAACGAAATCACACGCTAGATGTCGGTGCAGCGAGCTCGTAAGTTGGTTCCGCCCGGGGAAGGTAATCTACCAACTGCTCAGAAAACAAGGGGTATGAGGGGGGCCTCAAGTGCGTCACAGACGCGAAACCTTCAGCTATGGTGGGACAAATAATAGCCTGGTGAAGTGAGCACTGCCGAGAATGAGATGGGCACGGGGTTGGGGGTGGGGAAGTGGGGCAGCAATGGAGCAAGACCATAGACTGCGAGGGGTGCAGGAGGCCTTTGGGGGCGGGAGGAGGAAGGGTCCGCGTTCACCGAAGGAGAGGTTCATCTGCGCTGCGTCGTATTTTCCTTCATCCAGAATATTCACCCCACCCCCACCCACGCAGTCATTTGGTTTTGCATACCAGTGCCCGAGTCCCACTTTCTCCCACAGCCTCAAGTTCCACGCTGAGAATGCAGATTCAGCTGGCCGGGCGGGGCGGGGCGAGGCAGGGCTGTGTGTATTTAAGGGTGCACTTGGATTCACCTCGTCCTCAGCCCAGCGCGTCATTCCCACGCCCATGTGTGGCGATTAAAAAGTCGGCCAGCCTTGTGGAGGAGGAGCGGGTGCATACATTTGTATTTCTTTTTATTTCCTTATTTATTTATTTATTTATTTATTTATTTTTACGTACATACAAATAAACTCTTGCAAGTAGTAAGTACCTATGTCAAATTACAGTAATGCTGACGACCACCTCCAAACAGCAGAAGGGATTGGATGCTGGTGGTATAGTTGCAGCAGTGGAAGTATATTCCTTTCCATCTTCCTTCTTTCCATTCAGTGGGGAAAACTGAGAAAACAGAGCTTGCAATGGTCCTTTTTGAAGGCAGGAGCAAGAGAGTGGAGGCTTACATACATAGTGTACAAGAAGAAGCAAGGGGGGAGGCAATGAGGGGAATGTGAGCAGGTGAGAATGGGGAAAAAAAAACAAAGCAGGACCTGGCACACACACCTTGTTGGCATCTGGTTCCCATGTTGCCAAGTGACCAGTGGCTCTGACTTGGACATTATGTTAGCCAAGTTGGGGATGAGCCCATCCAAACCCTCCCTCCCTCCTTTCACCTTCTCCTCTCTCCCTATTGTTTGTTGCCTGTTGTTACTGCCTCCTGGGAGAACACCCTGCCCAACTAGCTCTCCTTTTGACTCTTTCAATGCTCTCCTGGTAAAGCTGATGTCACCCTGGTTTTTTTTGTCTTCTTTGCAATTGCAAGGATGTTTTTGTGATTGTTTCTACAAGCAAGCTCAGAATTTTGTTGTTGAGATTTTAAACCATTGTCTTTTTGGTGTGATTTATTCTTATTAATTTTATCTATATCTCTTTCTCTCTTCATTAATAACATATATATATATATATATATATATATACATGCATAAACACTTAGTTTTAAATCAGGTGATCCAAAGATAGATTGATCATTTTCAATTACAACAAAACAGTGAATTGTACTGTTGACTTATTGATCTTTCAAACATATCCAAAAAGTCCATCACATTAGCACATTGAATATCCACAAAGTGCAACAACAAAGACTACGTTTCCATTCATAAAATCAACTTATGTTTCCTCATCATTTGAACTCTGAAGTATTTATTCAACCCACAAACAGCATGCAAAAGCCAAAGCATATGTATGTGTGTCCACACACACACACACATGTGTGCGTATATATATATATATATATATATATTAAACCAACATCACCTTTTGAGGGGGAGGCCAAAGATCAAGGAAGAATTTGTTGCAATGACATGAATGAGACTTCTTTCACTTTCACTCGCTCTTTGTTCAAAACTATTGGGGAGCTGTTGTTGTTGGGTAATGACCTGAGTGCTCTGTACAAAGGGGATTTTGACATCACTAAGTAGGAGCACTTACCTTTTTAAATTGAAAACTAACAGTGAGCTCAGCATTGGATGGGCCACCAACTTTCAGCTAGTTTGACAACATCAATCGTATTCACATGTTACAGCCAATGGAAAGCCAAAAAAATGAAAATAATAATAATAATAAGAAGAAGAAGAAAAGATTGTAATGAAAGTGGGGTTGGTCTCCTGCTCACCCACCCCCACACCCCACACCTCACATATCATGAATACAAAACAAGATATTTTCATCCACAAAAAGGACAATAAAAATGTTTATAAAAAATAATTAAAAAATAAATAAAAATAATGTATCACCATGGAATATAAAATCCCATGCACAAAGAAGAAACAAAAACAAACGATATATTTGTTTGTATCTAAGCCATGCATGGCATGAGCAACCCACAGTTGAAGGCTTTGAACGTCCCCTTTGTCCCATATGCCAAGGAGAAGCGGTAATAGAGTCTCTTGGAAGTAGGACCTCATGGGGATAGGAGATCCAGTTGGGGGGGTGCCTTGCAAGCTTTACTACCAACTCTGCTGGCCTGACCCAGCCCAGCAAAGGCCCTCTCATTAATACAGCATCATACATTCAATGCATGAGCCATTGTCTGTGTTGTGGCCTGCACCATTGAATGCCATCCCAGTCACTCCTTATAGTTTTTCCATTTTTAGTCATGTCACTGGAGCCCATCTGAGGACCAGGACAGTTCAATTTCCAGAACAGTTGCATAGTCACACCCCAGATATTGTGGTCTCCTTTCCCATGAATGAACACATGCCAGGGCTTCTCAAATACCTCCTTTGCTTTGCTTTGCTACCCCATCAGTTGTTTTTGTGACATGTGTTTCCTTTTGGCAGAGGAGCATTTGTCCAGATTTTGATGCCTTTTTGACTTCGTATATGCCCCCTCTAAAATATCATCAGTGAATTGTTGGACTTCTGTGAAAACACATGATAAATGTGGTGTCATAGGAGTACACACAACTCTGTGTGTATGTGTATATATATATATATGGAAAGCAGTAAAAATTAATGGTGTTCGATTTTGATTCTTTTCTATTCTTATTATACATGAACTAACATATATTGCATACTCATTTGTTCTAAAACATTGCAGTTAAAGATTTTACAGCCATGTGAAGAAATACAATTTAATCCATTAAAATATATATACAAGCATTGTTGTGTTTGTGTGTTATATATTTGGAACTAAAAAGTATTGTGTATCACATTTTGAATGATGTGTTGCCCTCTGTGTGAATGCAACTATGAAGCTTAAAGCATATGTACTATGAAGCTTAAAGCATATGTACTATGAAGCTTAAAGCATATGTACTATGAAGCTTAAAGTATATGTACAATGTCTAAATATTTTACAGGTTTAAATCATGAAAAGTGCTATTGAAAGTGGGTTAGTCAGAATATTAAACAAATGGCAATAACAAGGTTCAATCATGGAGAATTTGATTGTCAATGACAATGTGGTACAACTGTGTAGTTTTAAGTGATTTAATGATCTTTTTTTCAATAAGTTGAATTGATTTCTAAACCAGCTGATGACTTCATTGAGAATTCAAGGAGTCTGAACTGATGTATGCATAGAAAGTGAAATAAAAACCAATTAAATTGTTGTACATATACACAAGAAAGATGACATTTATGTATTTCTATCAAAAAAAAAAAACATGAATAAACATATTGTTGCTTTTCAGATTTAATGTTGAACATCCAGAAACATTATGAGAGGAATACCAACTCTCAAACCCATTTTTTATGTTTTCTCTTGAATTTGGGAATTTCAAAGATCTTATTTATTTATCTTTGTTTTCTTCAGATCATCAAGTAGAACAAGTTCTTCTGTTTATTTTTTTCATTATTGTAAACAAATGAAAATTTAAAACCAATTAATTATAGGAATGAAATAAATCATACAAACATATTTCAATACTTTGGAGTAATTGAAGCTTATCAAGAAGTGATTTTATTATTATTAGTCATACATTGATATTGAAATAAATTATTGTGTCCTTCTAAGTCCCATGTACTTGTGATCACAATAGCAAATCATACAAATATTTTTTCTATTTCTATCATAACTTGCAATGTTACAATTTAATGTGTTCTTATAATGTGTTATCCCATTTGCATCAAGTTTGTGTAGATGGATTCAAGCATTCTTTAATTCCAATAATGCAAAAATACCTTATAAATATTATTCTTGCAAATGTGATCATCGATTGGCATGTTTTCAATAAGAGAATTTGTGGTTTTACCAAATGCTCTCGCAATTTGTTCCATTCTGGTTTATTTTATTTTATCTTTCAATTTTCATTTATTGTCATTCTTACATTTTCATTTCTAACATCCTTCTAGAATATCTAGAGACAAGGGAGTAAAATAATGTAAATGAGAATCAACCAAGGCACAATACCTTTGAAATCTAAATAATTTATAAAGTTCATTTAATATGAATGAACAAAAGATTACATGATGTCTCGAAATAATCAATTCAAATTTATGTACAAGTTTCTTTTGGCTTTCATCTTTTAGCAAAAATATAAATATCATCTAACATTTGCACAATAGTGTTGCAGTAGAAGGAAACAACAACAACAACAACAACAATAATAATAATACAGAAAGAATAAAATGTATATATAAACAGGACCAATAATTCTTGCATGTTTTCTTAATGACATTCTCACCTAAGCTCACCATCACTGGCTTTGTAAGTCTTATCATTCTTAAAATTTAGAGCAAGGGAATATAAATGTTTATGTCAATATTTTATTATGTAGGGATGCACTTAATTGATCTTGCTAATGTG